CTAAGAGCTAACACTGAACTTGTTGTTTTCACAGAGGAGTTGAAAGGCCGCTTAAGGTGATTGAACAATTAGAACGTTGATATGGTTCCACCACTCCTACCTCGCAGTTCTTTTCATGCAGATCACGAACACTAGAGTCATCTTCGACCTTTCCATTTCGAAGGGTCAAATGTCAGTTCATGGTGAAGGGCGGAATTTGGAAGTATAATCGTGATACTGAGTAAAACACCTACGTATACAAGACATCAGAGAGTAAAACATTATAAAACTATTAAGTTTCAAAATTAATGATAATCAGAAGCACTGCTTTTCGGTGGCACGGAAACTCTATTAACTGTAACTCTGAGTGTCACGGACGTCTAGAATTACAGCTAGTGAGCTAAGAATGGGAATTCGAGGATTAACTGTAATTGTACATACAGAGTTTCTTGTTTCATTTAATAGTTTTTTGCTATGCATTTGCTCTTGCAGTTTTTACTTGTTTTATGTTGATGCGCGTTGGTTGTATATCACAGCTTCTAATTCTTTTGTTCGAGCTTTAGTGGACGATAAATTCGATGAATCGTTTTGGTTTTCCTCTTGAGGTCTTTTTCCACTTGGTATATTAGAAATATATTGAACTTCTAATGAGTTTATAGAATTTCAGCCAATAATATTTAAACCAATCCCAGTGGAGCTCCTTAACCTTTTAACTGTCATGCCCGAGATGCACAGGTGTTCGAAAATGTCACGCCCGAGTATTACTCGGGGTATTTTTTTTTTTTTTTTTTGAGTGCATCGCATTGTTATACCCGAATATATCTTGGGAGACGTTTATTTCGACTTCATCTCTTTGTCAAACCCGACTGTATCTCGGGAACAGTTAATGTGCGCTCAATTCAATAGATGACAGCACTTTACTGAAGATTTCAAAGTTTAGAGGTTATAAGTTCTTTGGTTCAAAGTGCACGGGATCTTTTTGTTGTAAAATGACGTTCAATTCTTTGAAACGTTATATAGATGATTTAGATTCTTCAACCGAAGATGAAGGATGTGTGTTTGATGAGCAGTATTCATGATACTTCCATGGTCAGCCTCAAAAATAAAAAAATAGAGATATACTCAAGCCGAAGATTGTTTCTAATTACAGCCTAACTATGGGTGGTGTAGATCGCTGTGATCAGGAAATATCCTTTCATCCAACAATCTGAAACATCAGAAAAAATATTAGAAAAAGATACTTTTACATTTACTAGACAAGGTAGTCTAGAACTCATATTTGCTCTATAAAAATGTAGTAGAGAAACGTATTACATTTTTAGAATTTCGAATACAAGTTGTAGAAGAGCTTTTACATAAATATGATGACGAAGCTGCTGGACAAAAGAATGTTGGCAAACCACCTACAATAGATAACCCTGCCCGTCTTACTGAACGACATTTTATATCCCATATTCCTCCTACTCCTGCGAAACGTGCTCCTACAAGACAGTGCAAAGTGTGTTGTTCGAAAAAGGATAAAAATGGGGAAAAGATAAGGAAGGAAACACGATTCTGGTGTAGTGATTGTGGAGTTGGTTTGTGTTTGGAAAAGTGTTTCCAGTTGTACCACACAAGACTGAATTACTGAACTACTAATAGGTATTCACTTATATTTATTTATTTTTTAGAAAATAATTAATTTTTTTCATTTTTAGAAAATAATGATCCACTAGAAGCGAAATTTACAACTGCCATGTTGAGGGCAGCTGCCTCAAGCAAATAATCAGTGGCTACAAAACTTTTAAAAATTTTACCCAATGTACTTCAAAATATCAATTTTGAACTACTTAAGTATATTTTATTTTGTACTAAACCTTTGATTTTTGCAATAAAAAAATTTGACAATTTGTGTATCCAAATCATCAAAATAACTTAGTTAAAGGGTTAAGCAATAACAACGGCAATGACTGTCAAGTACATCTTGCTTTCTTTAAAATGGCATTTGGTTTTGGAAAGTTATACATAGCGCAACTACAAAATTTCAAGGCTAATTATGCTTTCAAACTTCAGTAAATATGTCACATTTATTTATGTAGTATCTCAATGCGTGTTTTCTAAAATATTGTCTATTTACGAACAGAATTTCCCATACAGTTTCCTTTCATTGGGGGAACATCTATTAACATGAATTCGAAAGCTGAGCGTAGACTAACAATAATGCATGCTCTAAAGCAGAAAAAATACTAATTATTAGACGCACTGTTATGCGCTTCTAATAATTATTAGCCGCATTTGATGCACTATTAGTGCGTCAAATAGTTATCATTAATTACACAGGAAGGTACAACGTATATCACTGCCATCAAATAATATTTTTCAAACACCTCGAAGGAAATCTCTTACAGATATTTATTGTTTTTAGTTCGCAGATTTTGGGCCCTGGCAAAATTTAGAATATTGCCATTTGAGGAAAATGTTTGCTGCAAACTTCTTGCGCAAGTGATCTAGTGAAACAAGTAGACGTCTTGAATAATGGAGCCTTATCTTTATTAAATAATCACATAAATGTCTATGTAAGAGTTTATGATGAAATAATGTCATAACGATTTTTTCACTATCATTTGAGTTTGCAAGTTTTAATAGCTCATTTTAAATATAAGAATATTTTTTAAAAGTTCTTAAATATTTTGTACATTTTCTGAAGAAATTGTTTCACTCGACAATACGAGTCTATTTTGTTATCACAGATCTACTTCGGTTTGTTATACGCTGCTATTGTCAGCCTCAATTGACAGTGTACCAGTTTATATTAATATTTAAGAAGAAATTTAATATGTCGTTATTGTGAATGTAGAGAAATCTTGCAAGTTTCAAAATTTTATTTACAAATTCCTAAAATTAGTTTCACACTTGATTTCACACTTGAAATTTGAAAAGTCGAAAGGCAGCGTTGCCAGATAGTTAACCAGTAAGGAAAAAATTTTCCCTTTTATTTAAAATTTAAAATTATGATTCACATACAGTCTGGAAATGCAAACTTATTTTTTTTATTCTTCTTTATACCTCTAAAATTCCGAACATTTTAAAAAAACTTTAAAATAACTCAAAAATTTAATCCCCAATACGCAGAAGACTTTTTTCTCTGGAATGTAATTTCTGATTAGGGAAAATATCTGATGTGATCACCACACATGACTTCCTTGTATGGCCTATAAATTACCCACATTTTTTGCTGCCCTTCATTTAAACTTGGTTCCTGGAACTTCATTAGAGATATATTTCTCATTAAATTAATTCAGTTTTCTCCAAAAGTACAGAAAACGCAAAACATCTTCATTAAAACAGTAAGATGAAGAAATACTTAAATCACTTAATACAATTAAACAACAATTTTCATAATTAAAATTAGAGTTTCAAGGTAAGAACAAGCAACTCGATTAGCGGGCAGAAAGACAGATTTTTCCAAAAAACTGAAAAAAAAAAAAAAAAAAGCTGAAAGTTAATTTTGATCGCACTCGATATAAAGACACTGAAGTTGATTTCCACACTGACTTAATTCACTACTCTGTTAAGAGAATCAAATGTAAATAAATGAAGTCATCGTTAGTCTTAAGCACCGCTAAAATTTAATAAATTTTAATTCTACATATATTCCACGTAGATTAACTGAAGGCATAAATATCTTAACTGAACCATAAGAACAACAATTTAATCAATTTTAAAGCAAAAAATGTACAATATACCAATGTATAAGAATAAAAAACTGAGCTCACCGAGTCAGGTAACAGAAGTGGGTATAATTACGTGTATATATTTCGTGTCCCCTTTTGTTTTTTACTTTATTTATTTTTGGTTTTTCTTGCGATGGTTTATTTTAATGATTTCCTTTAACATTTTTGAAATTTATTAATTATCAATTTAAATTTATGGTTTTTGGGAAAAATTAGTGCCAAATTTTCTTTCTTTATGTATATATATATATATGTAAGATAACAATGTATGAATCAGAATTATAATATAACTATAAACATTAATTCTTCCTCTCTATTCTAAAATCGTAATAACTTATCTGCATTCGTCATTCAAATTAATCATGCGATCTTACGTAACCGTTAATACCAGATGCTTCTTGACGACCAATCACCGAATTGTAAACCAAAACTTTTCTCTTCGCGTGCTTCCATCTTTCATAACGACGCACTTCAGCTTTTGCTCTCTACTTTGTTAAGATGTAATTTCGCTGGCTTGCTTTCTATCTCAGCAATATCAAAAATGTAAATCCTCTGTGGAAAGGCACGACTAGAGTGTCAAGTGACTGTGGCCACAAATATCAATTGGAAATAAAAATGGAAGTAAAACTGCCTCGACTGCCAAGTTCTTTAAATACTACGCAATCAAAGTTCTTCAATATGGATCTAATCACGCATCTACAGTGTTCCGTCTTTTCCTGTGCTTTTATTATGACATATATATATATATATATATATATATATTTACATATATATATATATAATTTTTTACACATTTTTACAACAGAACACACATTTTACATGATTTAAAAGTTTACAGAATAGGTTTTTTTTTAAATTAATCACAGATAGCAGCTTTACATTCAATTTAACCTTACATTAGCGCCCTCTATTTAAAGTTTGCAGAACACACTACTTACATCACTTATATTGGCAATACTTCTCCACTCCCCAAAAACATACTAGTTGGTAAGTTAAATTAAATTTTACTAGTACTTGCCTTTTTAGTATTATTTAAGTATAATTTATATATTTTTTTATAGATAATGTCTAGTTTCTTTTTGATTTATACGCATAATTCGTGTTGGGGAAGTTTCTGTAGGCAAGAGTTTCTAAACTACTTTGGTTTTCTAAAAATTTAGTTTTCTACTCTTATTTTTTTAATTTTTTTAAATTTTAATTCTTCTCTTTTAATTGCTAATTTCTCAAAATTCCACTTGCTTAAATTTCTTTTTAGTAATTCACCACATTTGGTATTACTTTTGGTTTTGACTTTTACCCTTGTCTACATGGATGACGAAACACGAATTTGAATGACTGAACAGTTAGGTTTGGAGGCAATTACCCCTTGGTAAGTCTGTCTTCTGCTTGCTCAACAATCATTCACTTATGCATTTTCTAAATAAATTTTTTAGGATTAAATAATTTTTGGAATTTTATAATTATTCATAGATTTTGATACTTGCACTTGATTTGCATATGCTTTCAGAATTTAAATGATATTGTAGATTAGTTCGCAACAATAATTAATCATTTATTTGTTTGCATTAAATTTCATTTAAATTAACTTTAAATTTTCTTTTTACGAATAGAATGTGTGTTAAATTCATATATATATATATATATATTTGGTGCGGCCGATTGCAATCAAAAATGGAAGTGCACAACTACATATTATAGCAGTCCCAATATGCAAAATTTCAACGTTCTAAGGCTACTCGTCTTAGAGCTATGCGTGATATATGTATATACGTACAGACGCCCCAAAAAATCTCTTCTGACTTCATTTTAAATCCATTTTACAATTCGGTTCCGAAAAAAGAGACTTTTATTCTGTCCGTACTTCCGGATTTCAAGCAAAAACACCGTTCAAATAGATTTGAGAGCGGTCAAAATGGATATTTTCGTTGAAATATGATGGTAAAATCCTAGTATACGGTGCAGCCTTGGCGCGATTTTGAAAATTATCGCCAACACCAAAAATTATCCAAAGAACGTCTATGTATATAGACTATACACTGTGTGTATATACATAGTATATACACTATATACATAGTATTATACTATGTATAACTATATATATTCTTTTGAATGATCCGTTTACTACTCATCGTATATGTCCCGTTTTTACTGCTCATCATAAAGTCGCCAAATCCCGTGTGCACCGGATACTAGGATTTAACCAATATGATTAAAGTTTTCGTGATTACAATACTTCCTTTACTTCAGAGAAGGAAGAAAAAATAATTAAAGAATCAATTGAAGAATGAGAACTCGATATATATTAGAAGCTGATTTTCAAATTTTTGACAGTGGAAGATCAGGTTTCCCCAAATACAATGCTTATATCTTCTAATGTGATGCGCGAAAAAAAAGTTTCTAAATCATCCGCAACTTCCTCCATTAAATGAACGTGAATGTTTGAGAAACGAAACGACGTTTTTCAAATCGTAATGTTGTGATTCTTGTATCACCTGAAGAGGCAATTATAATTTTTATCATGGACGACGGCAGCAAATGTCAATGTAAATTACTCTGAGAAACAATAAATATTCATTGTTCCAAAAAGCAAATTGCAAGTCAATAAGTTCTTTTAATAGGATGCAATAAAATAAATTATTATTAGCATCAATAAACGTGAGTAATGTATGCCCGAAAAAAGTAATCGTGAGGAAAAAATCATGTATTTATGAGAAAAGGCGTTGTTTTCTACTCGAACGATTTTTATGACAGAAAAATCTAATTTTATTTAAATTATGGAGTATGCGTTTTAAGAAATTAGTAGTGTTTTGCAACAGGTTGCTTTAAAAACGTAGTTGGAGTTAGTAAAAATCCTTGCAGTTTGTAAAAAAGCACTTTCAGCCATGTAGTAGGTTGAAGAAACAAACCAGCCTATTTCATCGAAAGCGTTAAGTATATTTTTGACAAAAACATTAACTAATAATAACAATGAATGCATTCTGCTATAAACGCTTTATCTATAAACAGTTCTAAAAAAACTCCTTCAAAATTTTCATTATTTTGTCAATATAAATTTACGTAGTTAATGAAATTGCAAATATAATTCCTTTGAAAGTGATGAAACTCCACTTTCCTCAAAGATTTAGTTCAAAAATTATACTACATAAATTCAAAAATTATACTAGATGGATAGGTTACAGCCGAAAACATCGCGGCAAAAACATCGCAGACGAAAACGTCGCGGAGAAAACAACGCAAGGCGAGAACATCGTGCTACAAAACATCGTGGGAGAAAACATCGCAGCTCTAAAACATCGTGGTACAAAACATCGTCGTCGAAAATAAAGCGGTTCAAAAACTTCGCAATTTAAAAACATCGTCGTCGAAAATATCGTGATAAAAAATAAAGTATCTACAAATCATCGCATGACGATAACATCGCAGACATGCTTTAATAACTGTAAATGGATATTCTCATAATGATTCGTGAGCGCAAGATGGAAAGAAGGATAATTTTTACTTTCGTATTTTTTATTAATTAATACATTTTTGCTGAGAAAATAAAAAGGAAACTTAAGCATAGAAAATTAATGCAACTTATAGCACTTAATAGAATTTTAAACCGACATAGTTAACTAACAAAGGCCATTAATAAATCATTTTTATAAAGTTTTTACTGGTAATTTTTCATGAAAAGTATAATCTATAAGTTGCATTTAATTTTCTATGCTTAAGTTTCCTTCTTACTTTTTCAGCAAAAATTTATTAGTTAATAAAAAAAAGTGTGAAAGTAAAAATTATCCTTCTTTACACCTTGTGCTCACAAATCATTATGGGAATATCCATTTATAATTATTAAAACCTGAAAAAAAGCATGTCTGCGATGTTATCGTCATGCGATGATTTATAGATACTTTATTTTTTTTACCACGATATTTTCGGCAACGATGAGTTTAAACTGCGAAGTTTTTGAACCGCTTTATTTTCGACGACGATGTTTTTTTTACCACGATGTTTTAAAACTGCGATGTTTTCTCTTTGCGATGTTTTCTCCCACAATGTTTTGTAGCACGACGTTTTCGCCTTGCGTTGTTTTCTCCGCGACGTTTTCGTCCGCGATGTTATCGGCGGACACCGATGGATATGTTATATTCTTCCATCACATCATGATTATTTTCAAAAAAATTCTCATAATGATAAAAATTAAGTCCATTTGAGGTCATCAAAAGTAAATCTTTCTTTTAACTAATACTTTAAAAATGTTCACATTATAAATTTAAATCAATTTAAAATTTGAGAAACGTAAAATGAGCTTATTAACATATACTAATCTCTTTCAATGGATTCAAATACAAACCCTTAAATATCTCCTTATAATATAAAATGGACTTACACCACTTTCAAAGAAAACAGCTCATATAACAGAATTTAAATTTTAGTACACCGCGTGTATTGAATCTTTTTTAAAATATTAAGGGTGAATTTTTGAAAAATCATATTTGAAAAAAACATCTTTCTGATTGTTTAGTTTTCTATGTACATTCCTTTTAATATCATGCGTCTCTATTTATTCATAAAGCTGTTGACTGCCTTCGTAAAAATTATCTATTCTAAAACTCTTTTTTATTAGAAAGAGCAGCGAACAGAATTAAACCTTCAGCAATTCATGTGCATTATTTGGCAGAGTTTAGGTTGAATTTTTAATACAACCAACCTAACTTTCTCTGCAAATTAAGAAGAAACGATCAATAAAAAATGCAGAAAAAATGCAGCTAAAAGCAATCACAGATGAACGGGCAGTGTTGCATCGGGAGGTAGTAAAGTATTAATTCAAACGATAACTGTGCATTATCTGCAAAGCCATGCTTAGAGCCCAGTTATAATTTTTTCTCTGTGAATTTTTTACAGTCTTTCTTCTGCGATGTTTCTTTGTCTTCTTCGGACTAATATGTGCAGTTATTTTTAGTCACAGAATCCTTATGCGACTTAATACCTTTCAAATGATACTTGACTAAAATTTAATTGCAGTGTATAAGAAACAGGTCCTCCTTCTACAGAAATAATGAATTAAATACATAACTCCTTCTACAAAATAATGAATTCTTTCAAGTATAAACATGATGTCAGCTTCTATTGGCAGTTATGCCAGGTAAACATGCCAGGTTACTAACATGCCAGGTTATGCCAGGTAAAGGAAAGCTGTGCTTTTAAAATTTTACTGCAAAACAGCCCACATTTTATTTTACATTTAACTTGACATTATCTTTTGTGATGCAACATGTAAATGTTTTTCAGGTAAAGGAAAACCTACCTCAGCACTGATAAATGATTTTACGAATTAATTATATGATCTCAACACAAGCTCTTCTGAAGAAGGCAGTTTTTGACGAACATAGGCAACCATACGGGCAAGTGGAAAGGGATGGTAATGTAATTAACTTTATTAATCTTCTTATTCGGGAAGACTGCATTTGGAAGTTATTGCACTGCCAGTGCATAAAAAGTTTATAGATAGTTTTTATGCTAAGTTTAAAGCATATTTCTATCATGGTGTTTTATGCATTGCTTATATCAAAGCTGTTTTATCTACAGCAATATGAACACAATTATATATTGAGATCTCAACTGTCACCTAATTATGAATTTTAAAGGATGGACTTGCAGTGAATTCAAAGTGACAGAATATCTTGAAAATAATTTGGGTAAAACAAATTACTAATAAAATAAAAAAAAAAAAAAATCTGAAATTTTTCAGATTTTAAATTACGTCCAAAGGGGCGTTTTTTTTAACGTTTTGAGTGTTACCTTTATTTATTAAATATCATGTTCTTTGCACTTAAACCATAAAATTCAGTTCAAGAGCAATATCGCAAAATAATGTTAAATTAAGCATATCTTTAGAATTTCCGATATACACAGTCTCGCGAGCTGGAGATAAAAGTATTTTTTTTTTATATATAACGTTGCCATTTCTCGCTTTTAAAGCATTGAGTTTGTAAATCAAAAATTCGTTAAAGTTTTACAAAATATAAAATATATAATAAAAACAAATTCCAAATTTGGGATTTCAGATGCCCATATTCGCAGTAGGATTTCGTCATTCAAAACTCGATGGCTCTATGTACCATTGTTTTATCACAATGCGAGAAATAGACAATCATTTATGCAGATTTTTCATTATTTAATTTCTTCAAATATAATGGAGGACTCTAACATTTTGTGGCAACAGTTTGAAAAGTGAACCGACGTTTATGAGTCCGACGCAAAATGCCAAAACGAAAGCAATAGTCCTTCGGAACTGAAATCCCTTTGAACTAAAAATATTTTGTGCAGCATGAATTATATCAGATATTAAAGTTAAATGGTTAAGCTATTTGCTTTAAAACATCTGATTTGAACTATTTAAAGCAATCCGGAGCAGGTGCTAGGATTCAAAGATCTTTCAGCTGTATACACAGAAAACTGAGAAAGACGTAACTCTTTTACGCATTCTAAAATTTCAAATTATCGATGAGCAGAAACTCATATTTCTGCTCAGAAAAAAATATAATACAATTTAAAATAAACATTAGAAAAATCAATTCTTACCTAACGTTGAAATTGGAAGTAATGGTTTGATCTTTGGTTTGGTAGCGGCATCGCACATGATAACCCCTTCCTTGGCTAGTCACCAACTTTCTATGCGGCTGTATAACCACAGTGTTGAAGTATTCTATCCCTTCATCCTGCAAACAGAGGCATCGTGTGTCAAAAAGATATATTTTGCAGCTGTTAGGCGGTGATGAATATTTATGAACCACAGAGAGTGTGACACATCCTGTGCATTTTACAATCATGCATATGATTCCCTGATGATTCACACTAACGGAACTCTCAACGAACGAGCTAGAATCGACCCTCTGCTTCACATAAATCTAATGTCATGTGATGCCAGTGGTCGTCTTTATCCACGGCTATTTTGATAACATAAACCGAATGATAACATTAAATGATAAGAAAAAATATCTTTCCAAATAATAAAAGAATTTAAATAATTTAATATACAAATATCAAGAAACATTATAAGGTTACTATTATTTTACATTAACTAATTATATATAATTTCAGCCTTTTCTATAATTTCTCCTTTCCGTTTCCTCACCATAACTGTAAATGACTTGAATTTAACCCGTAACAGGGGACGTGCGGTCTGACGGACTGCGCCACATGTTCCTCCCATCACCCCTATTGCATGCTTTGTCCAAGTGAATGGATTCTTCCCCTAGCTTCACGTTTCGTGACCTTCTTTCTGGCCCCTTTTTATCGGAATGCTTTGGCAAGTGTATCTGTTGAAGTTCTTCTAGAGCGGTCTGTGAGACCTCACCTCCCTCTCAGTGTTACAATTTTCGGCAGTAGTGAACACATGGCTCTGAAGTTAGGTCGTGGAGATTCTTTATCCTTCTAATCCACGTTATGCAGAAGAACTGAAAAAATTCTAGACGAAGTTGGAATGATTATAGTGAAGAAGATGACTGTGAAGAAAATTTCTGCGAAAAAAGGCGAGCAGTGGTTTTGATGTCATCATTACTCATTCGATAGAAACAGACTCGGAAACAGAAACCTGAAATAATTGGTTTTTATAACAGAACCAAAGGTGGTGTTGATGCTTTAGATGAAAATGTTCTGTCCATTCCTGTAGTAGGAGAACAACGCGTTGGCCTAGGCTCTTTTCTACCGATTAGTAGATATGAGTACAGTAAACGAATACATTTTGCACCAAGGTTATAACCAAAACCCTGTTATGACCAGAATGGTGTTTTTGAAAGAATTAGCGAGAGAATAAGTCCAACCACTACTACACACGAGAGGGAAAAATCCAAGAATAAATCGAATTGCCATACGATAAAGCGGATTTTAGGAAAAGAAGCTGAGTCTAAGGATGTGAAGCAGTGCACAAAAGAAGCTGAGTCTAAGGATGTGAAGCAGTGCACAAAAGAAGCAAAATTAAAATCACGGAAAACATGTCGTCTGTGCCCCCCAAGCAAGGAAAAGAAAGCCAGCATATTTATGTTTATCTTTGCCAAGACCCTGTTAGTTTGGAATGCAAGCAAAAAGTTATGCAATGAATGTGTTAAAGAAGACGAAAACTCAATTGTTTACTATCAGAAAATCAGTGAGATACTGATATTTTAGGTACTGTCAAAATTTTTCTGTATTGTGCTATATAAAATTTTCTGATGTTAAAATTTGCTTTGAATATTAACTAATATAGATAAAATAGTTAATTCAAAAAAATGCATTTTTATTTTTAGTTTTATAGAATTTAGTGCAGCATACGATTTTCATCGAAAAATTTGAGGCTATGGGGAAATTTTCTGGGAAAACTTTAATTTCACTTTAAAGTGTAAAAACATATTTTCTTTTCAGAGTAAAATGTTCAAAGAACATCTAAGTGAACTATCCTGATGATATTTTAATTAGACGATTTTTAAAAATTTATTATAATGCGCGGTCTCTGAGACCGCTCGTCCCCTGCTATGTTCAACTTTTTCACCTCCCCTGTTACGGGTTAAATTAAATTGTGTAGTCCTTGACTGCTAGGTTAAGTTTTAAATTTTGAATTACTGTTTCTTTAAGTTTCATCGAAACAAGTGATGGCTGATTCTGTGAGCACAAGAAGTATGGTTATGTTCTAAATTCCATTAAATAAAAAAGTTTGTTTTAACTTTTTCAAGGCTTTGTACTTTATTTCAAACATAGTGATCATTCGCTTAACGTCTATTAAGAGTTTGATGTTAGTTTATGCTTAAAAAGCTAAATCAAACTCTGTAACATATAAATAGATATTCTCACAGTATTTTAATTAGAAAAAATTAAAGTGTTTGTTTATGAACTGCTCATAATACCTTTAATGCAAAAGTTTGTTTATGAACTGTTCAAAACATATCTAGAAAATATTTTACTGATGCTATAATCCTAATCTTAGTATCCGGAAGGCATCCCACATTGGAAGAGAACATGCCAATGCAAAATTTTAAAAACACAACTTTAGTTTGTTAGTTCTTCATTTTAGAGGAATTTTTCCCCGAAGAAAATAAGAAATTCTATACATTTTTATTTTGCTTCTGAATGCAAAAGACTTGGGTCTGATCGCCTTCAAAATCGATAGAGTTATTCAAAATCTACTTCGAACTAAGATTGTTAATGGCTGACTGAAATCGAAACCAAGATATCTACTGACTTAACACGCTTGCCGATATTTCTCTGTCATTTGGCAATTTTTATGATCTATTTTCATCTTGTTTGACGAATTTATCTTTCGTGTAGCGGCTTTGATTTAGATAAAAAAATTTATTCTACAATAATTTGGTCATATTTACCGAATTTTTGATCACAATAAGAGACGTAGGTTCCCTGGTTTCCCTGGTTTCGTGTACATAAAGGGCGGGACTTCCGCAAATCGATAACAAAATCCGAAGGATAACTTTAACCGCAATCACACTAAGTGACGTCTATTGTAGTCTATTGTACTTAAAGATTTTGTGCAAATGTATACCTTGAATGGGCATTATGTGGAAATTAAGGATCCAGCTTATGTTCCTATATGCAATAAAATAGGCATACTTACAATGAAAACTCAATTTAATTCGTCTCTAAAGATCATAGCCAACAGAAATACTCGCAAAGTAAAACAGTTTTCCTCATAACAGATAATGTAAAATGGATTAAATCGTCAAATTATGACACTGAATCTAAATAAAGAACTGAATGCTTACAGGAGAATAGCTATAGTGGGTATTTTTATGCATCAGACAACAATTTTCTTTCGGTAAAGTATTTTATTGCTATTATTCATGGCTGGTCGTCGCTCGAGTTGGCCTTCGATCGGGATGCGAAGTTTAGATGCCAGCTCGTTGGAAGATACTAGGACAATAACAGTTAGATGGGTCCTGATGAACTGACCAAATGTAGCTTGGAACGTATTAAAAGATGACAGTACACTTTGTTTTGCAGATGACCTGAGCACACGAGTTACTCTGAGCAATCAGGGAGTGGCAAAACTGTAGCGGTGTTGTATGTACAAGTTAAATTGCAGCTGGCCATAAACTAATGTAAGAGGATATATCATTTAAACATATGGGCAGCTGATAAATATGCATATTATTCATAATTGCACAAACACTTTATTTTTAGAAATCAGGCCGAAATTTGTGTATAAAAAGACAGGAATCAGATATACTTACGAAGTCTGCACTCATGGTATTGCACGATCTGAGAGGCAAGGCATACGTTATTTGCGGTCCTGCTTCGCTGTACTCTGTCATACAGCTGGAGTTCTTGGACAGGCCCTTAGGATAGATCATACCGTTGAAGTTGGACGTTGTAGATATCGTCACAAGAATAGTATTGCTGTTACAGGCGATGTTTACATCGGACACGAGAGCGGAACCTAAAAAATTGAAAGAAATCACCATAAGGATTATTATTTACATTAATTGTAGTAGCAGTTTCTTGCTATCAAATACGTCATGAAATTTCAGATATGACCTCGAAATAGATTTTAAAATTTTGAAAAATATCATAATGAAATATGAAATTTTATGCTAAAAGGTGCTCGCTTGGCGTCTTCGATTATTCCTAGAAACATTGATTACAATGTAACCACTCAAAATAAATAACTGAATATCCGTTTCACAAATGAAGGAAATATTTCAAATATATCTTTCCATATTTCCTTCATTTGTGAAAATTCTTTTAGCACTTAGGAAACGTACAGATATAATGGTAACTAATAAGGAAGACATTTTTCCCGAAGCTGCATTTATTAGCTCACTTTAAATATAACAATAAAGAAGGTGAAATTGTTTCAAAATCATAATCTCATAAATTGTTGCTACTTCATTTTAAATTGTAAGCGTTTGTTAAGTTTGTGCTAAAAATCGATATTTAAGAGTGCATGTTGCTTAACGAAAAATTTTAAGTGTATCAATTTAATCTATTTCTTGATATAAACTAGATATTTGGTATACCTTGAAACGAAATGTATTTTATTGAATTCTTCCATCACTCTGCGGACAGACATTATGAGCCACGTTTAGACTTTTGAACAAGCACAGAAGGGTATCTGCCTCAAGGATACCATCAATGAGAACTTTCTAAAGTAAACTGACTAGTATACACGTTACATATGGGAAAAAGCAAGAAAATCAACAATGCAGTCAGCCCTTTTCCCAGGGTTCGAGCCCCAGTCGAACGTCTTAACGACAGTTTACAGCAGTCTTAACCACGCAGTCTTAACCTTAAGTTTACAGCAGTCTTAACCACGCGGCCGCTGATGCAGCCAAATTTTAAAGAAGCAGGGGTTTATATTCACGACCACTAACATGTTAAAGGAATTGAAAGAGTCTCTCTCTATGACAAAGCTATGAAAAAAAAGGTTTATGATTTGAAAATTAAAATTGTAATTATTTTTTAAAAATAGTATTTTCATTTAACAGTAAAATAAATAAATTTTTTAAGCGGTGTTTCAAAAAAAATTTTCCACGTTTTATTATAAAATTATAAGAAAATTCACATGCATATAATCTGCATGAGTATGAGTATCGACTTGAAAAAACGCATTTGATCAAGAGACTTAAAATTCAAAATTCAGTTTCACACTGAAAAATATTCAATTTCATACTGACATTTGTTTTCCTCTATATACGTCCTTTAAATTGGGGAAAAGAAGAAGAAGAAGAAAACAAATAAATAATTAAAATTTGAAAGCTTTCAGATTCTATATTACACCCAAAAGGGGCATTTTTTTTACGTTTCGTATATTACCTTTATTTATTAAATATCATATTCGCATTTAAACCATAAAATTCAATTCAACAACAATATCACGAAATGGTTAAAAACAGTATATCTTTAGAATTTCCGAGAAAGTTTACTCAGTTTCCCACGCTGGAGATAGTTTTTCCCCCTCCCGTATAGTGTTGCCATTGCTCGCTTTGAAATCGTTGAGATTGTTAATAAAAATTTCGATAAAGTTTTACAAAATATGAAATAGATTAATAAAACAAATTTCAAATTTGGGATTCCAAATACCCATATTCGATTGGAAGATTACGTTATTCAAAATTTGATATTTCTAGGTATCGTTGTTTTTTCACAATGCGAGAAGCATACATACATTCATGCAGATTCTTCATTATTTAATTTCTTTTTAATACAGAGCTCTAATATTTGGAGCAACAATTTGAAAAGTGAAACGCCATTTTATAGTGGACGAGGCAAAATGCCAAAACGAAATTAATTGACCTTTGGGCTAATTGCCTCTTTGTTCTAATAAATAAATTAATAAATTATAACTGTTACACATTTATTTTATATAAATTGCATATTTTTAACATTAACCCATCACAAGTTACTTTTAAAATAATCAAAAAACATTATATTAATTATTCATGTTATTTTTTATTATTTATACATACTTTATATTATATAAAAATCCATAACATAATATTGTTTAAGATTAAATATTATTTTGATGCATTTATATATTACTGTCATTTCTTCTATATAAAGGACTTCAAATTTAATTTTCCTCAAAATTAATTTTTGTTCCTTGATAAAATGGCTCCCATGCCATTCTCTAGAGATGCAACTATTTGCTGTAACTAATTAAATAACATTGAACTCAAAGTTAATCAACGTTTTCTAGCTAAAAGTTTTAAATTAGTGCATTTCTCTTCCACTTAAGTAACTCGTAATTTCTCTTTCTTAATTAAGTTGTTTTCAAAAAGAGTATATATTACAACCGTCTCTTAAGTATGCTCACTCTCCACTAATAAGAATAATCATTTTCTTTTTAATTTTATATTTAGATTTCGAATGCCTTAATGAATATTATTTATTACACTTAATACATTCATCAGCTTCATTTGTGTTTCTTGTTTTTTTTTTTTTTTTTTTTTTTTTTTTTTTTGTAATCTTTATTCAGATATTAAATTAAAGCATAAACTACATTTGCATTTTATGTCTTTTCAAATCACGCCATCTGAGTTTATTAAGTAGTTAAGAAAGACCGCAAGTTGAAAAAGTTAAGCTCGTAAAGAACTTTCACGTCCGCAATTTCTATTCAGTTCCTAATTGCAGCTGCTTTATTATCTAAGATGGCTTCATTTTAGCTTTAACTCGTTCCGAATGCAAATTCTTTAGCGCAGGTGCTGTGCAGTTTTCTTTTTCTTTTGTCAGTATAGACAAAAGTTGTCTGTTTTCGTATTTATCGCATTCGCGAACTTCACCGAACGAATAAAACACGAATCTGAGAAAGATCACGTGTATTTCGGGTTTTAAAACCACTTTTACTGTGACCGCAGTATTCTAGGAATTCGGAGTGATATTTCTTTCGCCCAGCAGGCAGAAAGACTTAACGTGCGCTAACAAGAAATCTGTTTGTTTTCTCTGTTTGTCTATCTTTTTTATGAGAAGTGACAAAGTTAAATTTTTTCTTCCCTTAGAAAGAAACAAATAAATCTTATGAGCATAAATTCTTATTTTTCTCTAGTCGAGTGAGGATTTTGTAGAATGAAGTCTTATTTCCCTTTCTTTTTATTTTATAAAAGAATTCCCCAGAAGGATTTCTTTTTGTATTATTAAAAGTGAAAGGTATCAAAACAGTCTTCCCGAAAGTTTGATTTCTTCACCTCGTTATTAATAATGTTGTGCTTGTGCTATAAAATATTTTCTTCTGCATGCCTTTATGGTGTAACTGGAAGCACACCCCGGCGGGGTTCGAATCCCGTCGGGGGCACTGAACATTTTTCATGTTTCCAGCAACAAAAGCATCAAAAAGTCTACAGTGTAATAATATGTATTATAATCTTATAGACGAACATTTGTGATGGATTGTTTCGTTTCATTTCGAAGCAAATGCAGGGTTCGGGAGAAATAACGGCGTTTTTTTATGAGTTGAACACCGATATTAAGTCTTCTCTAACAGGGATCAGAACGTAGGTTTCTTACAAAAAGTCACAAGGGCTAATCTTTAGAATATGGTAACAGGTAGTTTAGCGACATTTTGGTAAGGCGATAAAGGTTACTAGCTAGGACTTTAGCAATAATCTGAGAAGTACACAGTTCGAATCACAGATTATTTTGTTTCAGAGAAATGAGAGATCATGAGACAGGTAATGTGACATTTTCCTGAAAACTCCGATCGTGATTTTAGCTAATAAGCACTTAGAAACATTTTCGCTGCTGAAGTGCAAAATCGCCCACTTATTTGTTTGGCGTTTTCTACAAGAGTAAGAAGAATTCGATTTTTGTCAATTTTCTTTGACTTTTTAAGTGAAAATAGGTCGATGTGTACATAGATAAAGTCAAGAGTGTGCACAATGCCATTTTTGTGCAATTCTGGGATGTTTTTTAAGTGAAAATAGGTCGACGTGTACATGGATACCGTGTATGTGCAATTCTTAAAAACACGGCAAGCAGTTTGCAATTCTGCACTTTCTCCCAATTTCGCACCTAATCTTCGTCATGATTAAATATATTTGTTCCATAAAAGTTCTGGTATAAGCGTAATTCGGATAGCAGATTGTTGGAAAAAATGTTGAGTAAAAAAAAAAAAAAAAAACATGCCTTTACTTCGTGAAAACAAAATGGCGTCCAAAACAAAACTAGCAGGTTGCTGTAGCAGTGTTGGTCGCCAAATTTTCGCCAAAAAATCGCCAAGTTACCATAAAGATTAACCGTCAGAAGGTGTAGTAATGAATGGCATCATATGATGTTTTGGGTCAAATGTCCAAAATACTGACCACTTCCTATGATAAATCCACAAAAGAGAAATTCATTACATCTGTGAGTTTTTTAATAACGGATTAATGAAGTGAGAGGCTGACCTCACTTGAACTTTTGGAGACCTTTCATTTTATGGCACAGGGTACTTAACGTTTCGACAATTCCGCTTTGCATTGAATCCTGAAAATGAGTTGGGGACATCTTGAAACTTGGGGGCCTTTGTGACTGCAGCTGTGCTGACTTCACGGTCCTGTGAAGTCGTCGTAGATGCACCCGTCGGAGACTTCGCTTCTTCATCTTAATTCATGCTTCTTCGGAATTATAACTGCTTTGTTCTTCATTTACTTTTCTGACCTCTCTTTCCTTATCTTTATCCATCATGTCACGTATACCATTTGCTACTAGAAAATATCTAGATTAAGTTACTTTCTGTGAGTGACGCTTTCTTTCTAGTTTTTCTCAATTTAAATTACGCGTTTGTGCTAAAGCATTTCTTGGCGCATTTTACAAAACCTTTATACATTTCCGCTTTATGAAAAATCTGCTGTTTTCACATTGGATTGAAGTCATGAATAAAAACCTTAAAATATATGATGTGCAAAAGTATGTTTACGAAATAGACATCAGTTATACAATATTTGGAGATCGGGTAACATTCAT